TATCAATAAAGGAAGTAAACCAAAAATCAGAGTTGTCATTTAATTATTTCTAAAGTCACCAGTGACTTTTAAATGACATTAAAAAAGGAAGTAAACCAAAAATCAGAGTTGTCTCTTAATTATTTTAAAGGGCATCAAAGACTTTTAAATGACGTTAGTAAAGGATATAGACCTAATATGAAAAGAGTAACAGCTGCAAAATAGCTCCTGATTCAACGATGCGGATTGCCAGCACTGTAATGCATCAACTGATTTGAGGGGAAATGCGCACAAACAGCGGTACTTTTTTTCGTCTATTTTCCCTCATATCCTGGGGTAAAATACTGCAGGTGAGTCAATGCATTAATTTAAAACAGCTTTTAGTTTATTCCAATTTAGGAATTGACACGAAAAGTTTCGTACGATTCAAATAATTCTTTAGGTTTTTGCATGCTTTGTAGTATTAACCAGAAACATGCATGGCAACTGAGTATAGCTTGTTACGGTTCATTGCATTTAGCTTCTTTTTAAAATACCCTCTTAACCTTGATGATTGGTCTCTCGTTTCCCCTCTAACCTTGATGATCAGTCTCTCATTGTTATCCTAAAAATACCCCCTAACATTGATGATTAATTTCCCGTTTTTTTCTTTCTAAAAATATTCTCTTAACCCTGACAATTAGTCTCATTGTTTTCCTTCAAAAATTATCCCTGATCATAAATTGGACAAAGAAATTGACTGTAGCGGGATTTGAACCTGCGACCTTTGGAACACCGTGCCAGTGCTCTACCAACTGAGCTATCCAGCTATCTTCGGTGACTCTTTCCATCAATGTCCCTGTTCGGGGAGGGGGCGGTACCAGAAGCCATTAAACCTGAAACACCATGTATCCTTGTTTTCCTTCTAAAATATCCTCCTATCTTCGATGGTCAGTCTCCCATTTTTATCCCTCTAAAAACATCCCTCTGACCTTGATGATTGGTCTGCCGTTTTCTCCTTCTAAAAATATCCTAGTAGCCTAACTGGGATGTTTAGTATCCTTGTTGTCCTTCTAAAAAACATTACCTTGATGATAAGTCTCCCGTGTTTTCCATCTAAAAATATCCCTTAGACGCGATGTTTATTCTTCTGGTATTGTCATAGCCTTGACGATAAGTCTCGTGGTTTTTCCTTCTAAAACAATATCCTCCTAGCCTCCCCATTTTTCCTTCTAAAAATACCCTCCTTAGTCGTGATGAACAGCCTCCCGTTCCTTCCTTCTAAGAATATCCTCCTATCTGCGAGGAGTTGATTCACTTTAATCCGTCTAACCGGGCTTATTCTGGTTCTTCCTTTCCTTACAACATCTTGTTCCATTTCTTGCCGAGATCGACAGTCTGAATTGTCTCATCCATATACAGTCGTTTTTCTCACAATGGCATACCACCACTAGAGACGGTATAAATCTCTTTTACTCTGCGCCAATACCTTATGTTTGACATACCACGAGGTACGTCCTAGACCGAGTAGGACCTTATGTCTACTCTCAAACCACTTTAAACTTTACTACGAGGTTCCACGCTTAAGGCATGTTTGAATTTGTTTACAACTAATTGAAGTTTAACTCAATCATTTGAACAGCTTCACTGACGAGACTCGTTCAACAATATATTGTTGGGTTGGTTTTCTGCTTTTTCAGGGTATCAGTTCATGTAAAGATGCACACAAACGTGGAAAGTATGGACCTCGGAACAAACGTTGAAGTCCACTTAATGAAGAGTTTTAGAGGACGTGATGGTCTCGCACTTGGTGTCCACACGGTGTTTTCTCCTCTCTGACAAACACCTTCAGAGGTATTTCGGAGTCAGAGTTGCGCACTGCAAAATGAAGGGGAACAGTCCAGGAAATAATCCTCAAACTTGAAAATCCAGCTCGAAGGGGTTATCGTGGTGAGAGTTAAAGGTGCATTTTGTTAGCCCACAAAGAACAAAGTAATGTCCACACGAGGTAGGCCCCAGGTGAGACAAGCAGGGGTGTACACGCACATGAAACTTTTATCAATTTGCAGTATGGAATGGCAACATTAAGCCAATTCATCCTTCTGAACATTTCAAACGAGACCAACCATGAGAAATGAAAAGCCCAGCTTCCGCACTTCAAGTCATGCAACGTAATTATTGTCTCCGCCGACTTGTGAGCTACTCTTGGGGCGCTACCAGAGACGTTATAGTGGTGCGCTTCCTCAGGGTGCAGTCCACTAATTCAGGCCCCATTGAAAACAGTGTAAAATCAGCATTGTTCGGGGCCCAATAACATGCGTACCAACATCCCTGAGGCATCTGAAACACACGTTAAATTATTCTATGGTCCATAAACTTTTACTTTCTTTTAAATTTTCAGTGGGTTGTCCGATTACATTTTGAGTTATTCCCTCAAAACAAAATTAACCCCAAAAAGTGATTTTTCTGAAGTCTGCTTGCATTTTTATTTTTTGCAGCCATTTTTCAAGTGACAACCTTGAACTTTCTCGGGCACTTAGGACTATTTCTCAAGAGTATTTTTTAGCCATTTTTCTCTCAGATGAAAGCCCAAAGACCCAGGGAGTTGATTCTGGCAAGATTTACACAATCTCACCATTTTGGGGGCCATACAATCTGCTTTTCCAAAAGATACTGTTGGGGGGGCACTTTTAATGCTAATAAGCTCGCCAGAAATTCTCGCTTGAATTAGTGGACTGCACCCCGGTCAAGCGTGTGGGAAACGCCTTGTGACGATGACACCCATACACGACCCTGCACAACTAAAGCCGAAAACAAAACGAAACATGACAAAGATCAATGAGATGATATGAAACAGAGACCATTGACGAAGGAAAAGTATGGTGTTCTAAAGCGGACAGGCAAACGTCGCGTGTGTGAGTTTGCCACGTCTTGACGCGTCGTCCGTACGTGTTTGAACGTACCGTCGTGTTTGTCAGTTCGAACGTCGTGTTTGTGAGTTCGCAGGGCCAATTTCATAAATTTGCTCAGCACAAAAAATTTGCTTAGCACAGCATTTTCTTGCTCAGGAAAAACAGGTTACTAGCCGAAAATCCATGCCATTTCTATGATAAGCGAACATCAGCTGAACACCAGTCACAGGCAATACACATGTACAACACATGTTGGTAATCAAAATCCCTTTTAAGCAAGCATTTGGTAATTCTTAATCTTTGTATCGTTTTTAACTTCTGGGGAGGGAGCTAAGCTGTTTGCTCATTTTGTATGTGTTTTAATTTACACTCTGTGGGCTTATTGCTATGCATTTACAAGTTAAGTTGGGGTTCTTTTTAGTTAGAATATTTATATACAACTAATGACATTTATTTGTTTCAATTGAGTTATCATTTTCTTATTTCCGGTTTATCGTGTGTTGGTCTTGTATTAACTTTAGTTATTTTTAACTAATGTGATGCATTAACGAGCAGGTGTGTCCTGGGGAAAGCGCAATTATTCCAGTTGTTTTCAATGGAAAAAAATCATGCTAGTGGTCCGTGAAATTGGCCCTGATACAACAACTCACAAACACGAAGTCAACCCCACACTCCCGCGCACGACGTTCGAGCTCACACACACATCGCGACGTTTGCAATTCACAAACACGTTTAAACTCACACACACGACGTTTGACTGTCCACTTAAGAACACCGGTACCATAGCAAAGACCGGCATATACTGTACGTGTTTATGAGATAAGACCATAATACTTTCTTGAGTGTGTGGGAAGTTAGGTTTTGCACAAAGAACATGTATTCGATTCCAGCGGCTCTCTTTTTGCTGTCATTACTCGGTGAACACTCACTGGCATTTCATAGGTATTTCGGGGGCAGCGTCGTGGAAGTCTGCGAGGACGCAGGTGTCATGACATTCGTCAAGTACATCCGTGCCATACCGTGGTTGAATGAGACCTTGGAGAACCACCTCCTGTACATGGTCTTGGCTCCGACTGACCGTGCTTTCGAGGACCTAGGCGTAATAGCCCCGGAGGTGAAGACCGCCCTGAAGGACCCAGAGACCTTGGAGCGGTACATAAGATTTCATATCACCATGTCTGATGTAGTTTTCATGGAGGAAATCTACAACGAGAGGATGCTCACTAGCCTCCCTGCACACCCTGAGAGAACGGAGGGCGTTGTGCAGCCCCTACTGCCCTTCCGGTTCAACGTTTACCACGTCCCGGCGTATCGCCTCCGCAAGGGCGTCATTGGACGGGTAAATTGTCTGTTTTCTAAAACTGTATTGTGATTAAAGTTTATCAAACCTTCAAGGTGGTTGAATTCAGTGGGTTGAAGGGTGTGCACATTGGAACTACAATCATGACTGGCCAAACATTGTTTATTTTTCAAATTCTGATAAAAATGGCTTGATAAATTTGTGAGTTACATATTTTATTGTATCAGTTAATTTTTTAAATAAAATTCACGATGATTCGCTTTGTAAGGCAGCTGTTTGAAACAGACTTAAGTAGAATAACAGCACTGATAGATTCTGTTTTTTGTTTTGTTTTGTTTTGTTGCTGTGGTGTACACAAGCCATTTTACTCTGAAGTCATCAGAATCATTGCAGCTCAACCTCAGCTAAATCTGTTCGATGAGCCCGCAATACATTTCACATGACATGTCACTTGGACTTCAAAATAATGATGTAGGGCCCATTGAAACATTTTCAAAAATTGCACATCTGGGACCAAAATCATGATAAAATGGATCTGATCAAAAGCAGTTTTGGTCTAGTTTTGATGGAGCAATCGCGACGCACTGTTTTTACTTCCAGGGAATAGTCAGCATCAGTGCTACAAAGTGTTACTAGTCTGACGGAATATTGGATGTGTGTAGGAAAGGACAGAACCTTTGGTAATCCGTGTGCTTCGTGCATGGCCAACATTTTATAGGTACACAGCACATATATTTCTGATTTACACATACACGTACATGTATTGTAGTTTTGACCGAAGTTGTTTGCTTTGTGATCCAGCGAGGATCATATGCCTAAACCCGAGTACCAGCCACTCATCTGGGTGCAACTCTGTAATTAAATTCCCATAGACAGCAATGCTAAGTCCCCGTACTTCACAATTATTTAAAAGATACACCTCTCACAGGTGTGCAGGCTGCACAGAAAAACGATGATCGACATGTCCCTTTTCGGGGGTTGACCAATGAAACCTTGAGAAATTTTCACCAGAAGCAGAGCATCCCTAAAATAAAGAAAATGTCCCTGCCCAGAAAAGTAGCCATTTCGGAAAGTTAAACCATCCATCTGCAAAACGGCCAAATAGTGCCACTTTCGGACCCTGTTGCACTCAAAATGCTCAGAGTTAAAAGCTCAAAGTCCAGGCCATAGGTTCAGTGCAATATTTCGACAATTCCGCAATTTCATGGCTCTCAGGACTCTCTAATAGAGAATATTTTTAGTCTAAAACTTTTTAATGAGCTCGGCGGACGTATTTCTGGCCTTTTTTTTCGAGGGTGCACCCATCGATAGCGCCCGTATTAACAGTAACCGTAAAGGGAGTTGGGTAGAGACGCGCTTGAAACAAACATGGCTGCAGGAAGGTTACTCCCCGTTCTGGCGCTGGTAGCGCTAGCGTTCTTAGCTAGCCCCGAGGAAACATCGGGGGCCGGGATGCTGGCGGTATAGCGGAGGACTACGGGGCCGCTTCGTTCGTATCCTTCGTACGCAAATGCGCCCACCTCAAGAATCTCCTGGAGACGTCCACACAGCCGGGCGGCTTCACGCTTTTCGCGTTCTCCGAGAGGGCTTACTCGGAGAGCCCACCGGCCTTGCGCAAGACCCTGACCCTGCAATGGGTTCTGGAGTATCACGTCGCCCTTGGACCCTACATGAGCTCAGACATAAAGACAACTTACTTCTGACCAGCTTGTACCCGTCACCGACGTCTGGGGCTTCCTTGCCACTTCAGTACCTGCGGACCAACATCTACACGATCCTCTCGCGAGAACGCATATAGAAAGTTGCCTTAAGTTTGCAAACATAAGTGGTATCATGATGATGACTTCGTTTCCTTCTCGGGAAACTTGATACAGCTCATGATAAAGAGTGCATAAGATGTTACCATTGCTTCCTTCTCTGCCTTTCAGAAGGTACAAAAAGTTGAGTTTTCTGTTCTTTTTTTATCTCCCGTACCGTTCCACTCCTACCCTGTTTCTGTTTAGGTGGTGACAGTTAACGGAGCACCAATCGTCCGATCCGACTTACCGGCCTGGAATGGCCTTGTTCACATTCTTGACAAGGTCATGCTTCTGCCAACTGGAGCCAACATGACGAAGTTTGTCAATGACGATGGGCGATTCAGCCGTCTGGTTGGCTTCCTACAGGTTTGGAAATTTCTATGATCCATCATTTATCGTTGAGATACAACAGTTTGCTCAGTCACATGTATTGTTGGTTGGTGGGATAGGCATGGACCAAAAATGGACTTGCTATCATCCTTTGGCCTGCATGTTTTCCTACTTGTAACCTTTTCTTTGGGGTAAGAGATGAAGTAACAAAAGGTGGACTCCGTAAAAGTACAGGTGAATTCTTGTGTCATCGGTGAAAAAAGTGGCTAGTTAATCACATGACAGAAGAACAACTGCTGAATTGAAACTGTTCTTTTCAATTCCCAGGCAGCCAATCTCACCGAGGCCTTGGAGACGGAACCTTCACAGCCGCTGACCCTGTTTGCCCCTAACAACCGGGCCTTCGAGAACTTGCCCAACAACGTTGTCCAGAAGTTGGCCAATGTCACCTTCCTAAAGCAAGTCCTTGAGTACCATCTGGTCCGAGGCACCTACTATGAGGCCGGTCTGTGGATCATCGAGACCTTGCAGCCATTCTACAACAAAACACTGCCGGTGAGGCGAGGAACATGGGGTACCCATGTGCAGAACAGTCTGGTCCTGCAGGGTGACAACACGGTGTCCAATGGCGTGGTGCATGAGATATCCGCCGTCCTAATCCCCCCGGAATAGAGGGGTCGGTATGCCAAGTTAGCACTGTGGTCTGGTAACTCCACATGTACATTGCACATATCATTTCAAGCATGTCTGGCAGGGCAGGCTATTTCTAGTACTCAGATTTATGTGGAATTTTCACCCTTTTCTGTTCAAACGAGTTTTCTTTATGAATTCTAGACTCAAAAACAGCATTAACCCAGACTCCCAATATTCCCAAAGATCCCTCACACTATTCATAAAACAGACTCAAGGCTTTCATTCAAATGTTCAGCTTTGAGTCGACCGTAACATACATCAGAACCCCTTGAATTAACAGATGTGAAAAACTCTCAGAATACTTCCAATTGCACAATATAACAATCCAACATCATCTCAGATGTTTAATAGTTTGCCAGTAGACTTCCACAGTGCTTTTGTTGCAGTTTCTTTGTTAAGAATTAATAGAAATTCCTAACCATACCAATGAGCTTACTTAAGTGAAATAAATACAGTAATCTTCCATGCACAAAAACTGCCCATCCTTTCACACAAGAGCGTCTTTCTTCCACGGTGTTGTATACCAGTATTTACAGACACTATGGCAAGACTTTTTACTCCAAATTGCTTACATCAGCCATTTCATAATATTTTGAGTAGAATTTATGGCCAGCACTAAACCTGATATAAATAAAAAGACGTGCATTTGCAGTTCATTACCAAAAACAAAGAAGAGGAAAAAGCAAGCAAATCGTTACTTTAATTACAAACCGAAGAAAAAGGGATTGATGTTTAAAATATCAAAAAAGGAGACTGGCTTTTTAAGAACTCTTTTTCCCAAGCAGTACAATTAAGCTGTTCACAGAATTGTCTAGATAACCTTGTTATAAAAGTCTAATGTTTAATGTTGTTAGAGGGTTGATTTCATGCACAGCACATTTTTGTTGCCTGTTTCAAAAGGATCAGTCTAACTGGGTAATTGCCATTTTGTGTGCGCTTTCGAGAAACAACACTTTGGCTCTGTGCCAGTTGATTGTTTTGTTTCTATGAATGAAAATGTATGACGTATGTGATTTATTCGTGGGTAAAACGTGAAGTTGCAAACTGTCCGTGTTATCCATAACAGATACAGAACAGCAGCCTAAAATCATTATTCAATGGTTTCTTGTGATGAGGTTTTTTTCTCTGAAATGAAGAAGGTGATTGCAATTAAGAAACTAATCAGGCAAATGCCTCCTTTGGATGATTTGTCAATATGATGTAGAATAAAGTCTCTGCAGCTACGACGTCCTGATTTTTTTTTCTGATTATTTTTATGCAAATCTGTGTCTCTCTCCTATGCACACTGAAGTCATTAACGTCATTCTAAAATCCTGAGGGGTCAATGTGTGTGCGCCTACATTACCAGAGGGCAGGAGATGAACTCGCAGTGAAGAAGCTGTCAAGTACTACAGTGACCGGGTATAATCCTGACATTCTGGAAACTGGGTCCCTGACGTCAGGCGAGGTCGTTGCTACCATGCGGTGAGGTTCAGGTTGAGGGTTGACGAGGAGCTTCTGCTCGAGGTGGCATCGCTGTCGTTGTTCTGGCCGGCATCTACAAATGGGGACTGAGGGCTGTTGATGACCTTCTGCAAGATCTCCAAGACGTCCTCATGTCTGTCTTTGACATCTTGAGGCTGCACAGAAATAACACAACACAAAAACAAACGTACTGTTGGACCTTTTTTTCCCTCTGCAGAACCATTTAAACTAAACTGAACGACCATCCGTACTAAAGCGAAGGAAAAGAAATGCAATCTTTCTAACTCACTGAATTTTAATTCCCAACAAATCTTTTGGCTGGACCAACACTACTTACACACTCACTAGCTCCACATCTCTTCCCAATATGCTTCTAATTCTGACTAGGTCCCCTGAAATGGCCATTTCTTATCTTCTCGCTGTAAACAGTGGTTGGTCAACCACAAGAAGCTCAACTCACCAACTGGTCGATGTGATCCGCTTTCAGGCACTCGTCCACCATGATGTTGACCTCTCGTATCAAGGCCACCAGCGCCATGGCCGTTTCGTACGTTGTGTAGAAGGCCACAGGGGTCCTGTGGTAGGTAGGGCTGTTTCTGGACGAATGGCCGTTCCTGGTAACGATAAGCTTTACGATCTCTGTGTCCGGATCCTGGATGGTGTTTTCCTCAAGTTGCGTTTGTAATTCTGAAGTGGCAAAGACAGACACCAATCCCAGGTTTTAAAAAGGGTTCTAGGACTTTGGAGAACAAATAAAAAAACGAAAAATAGTTACAAAGTACATTCTATCTTTAAAATAAAACCTCAAGGCACTTGTGAAAAATGTGAAAACGCACCATATTTGTGAAGTTGAACAGTTCACACAATTTTTTGTTTTACAACATTTCTATTCCTCTTGAAATTAAAGACGAAATTGTAAAAGATGACACTTTTGTTATTGTTCAAAGTTTGTGCGATGTTTCCCACTACATAATCCTTTTTGGCAACTCCAAGACAAGGTGGCAAAGCACATTGAGGGTGATAACGAGTATACATTCGCCCAGCACTACCTGCACAGTTTGCTGATACGTCCTTCGTGTTTAGACATCATTTAGTGTGGAAATGTTAAACATAATATCCTTTTGCTCGTGTTATTGTCTTTTACTGAGCTTATTTTTCAGTGAGGTTTGAGCACCGAACCCCAAACATTCGGTTAATGAATAGATAAAAATCTCTACGCAAAAATGTAAAATTGATAAAAATCTGTGTGGTGTCAGCATCACCTCTGTTTGTCAATGGAGCCACATGCACTTTCCTTCCAGTCATGCAGAGAACAGCCAAGGGATGAACGACGGATGTATCGTGAATAAAGATCTGCTCGTTCCTTGCCTGAAAAACCAAGATGTCATACATGTTGGCCCACCTGTGAAAGTTTGACCACTTTGCTCAAGTAAATTCATATCCGATCCGTATTATGTTCCTTCTGCATGTTAGCCTTCTTCCTCTTGAAGTGTACAAAAGCTTCAGAGCATTTGTACAATCTGCAACATTCCTAAGTGTTTACACTCAGTAAAGACCTTGGCCCATTTTCATGGCTCTGATTTCCAGTTAACAGAAAATTTGTGATTACTCTAGCATAAAAGTTTGTCAATAGTAAGCGCCATTTATGGCTGTGCTTGTGGTTGTGCTAACGGTCGCATGGGTACAGAAGCCTTTTTTTTAACACAAGACTTACGTTTCCTTACTCATTAATTAGGATCGAATGTTGGGTAAGGGGACAGGATCACACAGTACACAGATTTTCACTGGAAAAGGGCATCTGACTGGAACTGTCCATGAGGGAGGAAGTTTTCAGGGTGTGTATAAAAGGGCTTATTTTTATAAAAAACCAAGCACACGTTGCTAAGGAACAGAGTACCAATATACATCTGCTGAGCAACTGTTACTTTCACATGGTACCTGATTTTCTTTAAAAAAGAGCATCACATAACGATTCTCAAGGATCCAGGCAGGTTCTGAACAAGTGCCCTATCATGGAAATGTCTGAGGCAGGAACGACTCTTACCTTTGAGAAGTAGGTGAGCCAGCGACTGGGGAACGATTTCTCTGTGCAGTTCACTGAGCGACGGCTCAGCAGCACTACGTTGGATTCCCTACAAATTATTACAACATCAGCAATTATTGAAACATCATCAGAAATTATCAAAATTTCATCTCTGTCCAAAGAAACAATGCTATCACACAGTCGATAATACCCAATTCACTCTAGACCTCATACGGGGTAGAAAATACAAAGCCACAATTTTTGCTACCAGAAATATAACCATTTTTATTTTCGTTGCTTCTCACTAGCTCAAAGCTGAAATTTCTTATTAGGAATGCTGGTCTTTAGATTTCTGAGTGGCATAATTATACTGACTATTAAAAAACGAGCTATTTACATTTGAGAAGCGATTTCCATAGCTGCTCAGTAAACAATTTGACAGGTACAGATATATTTGCTCAGCAAGAAAGGATAATCAGGCTAATTTACATGTAATTCAGCTGCTTCTGATTTGTTCTCTGTCATCTACTGCTTAGCAACTCTACAACACGATATTTTCTGCCTATAGTAGCTCTGTTGATCCACCACGATCTGACGATGTGAGCTCACTTACATGTCTTTGTAGACCAACTGTCTGAGCTTCATTCTGGACCTCTCGATCCGTCCGCGTCTCGCGCGTAGCAAATTTGGAAAAAACGCCCCACACAGGACACCCTGGTGGCAGGAAAGAGATAACAGGGCAGGTAGCAAACGAGATGACAAACAAACAAAAAGCTAGCAGTCGTCTTGAAAATAAGCCCTGTATTTTTTTAGGAATCTTTGACAAAGAAATGATGAATGTGTACTCGCATCTGGCATGATATCTCTGGAGACTCCTGCATGAGGTTAAGGTTAGGTTTCTCTGCAAGAACTCTGAAGGCACCCCAGGGAAATTAGATCAAAAGAATCATTATTCCTACCCCTGCCCATCAGGCCAACAAACCATTTTCAAGAACATCAGCTCCCAGGCAACAGCCATGCGACACTGCTCATAATTTCCTATTATATTCTTGTGCTATCAAAAAGTGGACATCAAAAATCACTTGCATCCTTTTTGTAGTCCCTACCTTGACTAGTTGGTTATCAAAAGCAAACTCATTGCTTGTGTCATTTCCATGGAGACAGCCTTTAGAAGATGCTACCAAGCTTGCCTCCTCAAGGTTGTCTGCAAGTTGTTTGCGAAGACCTTTGGGAAAAATAGTTGATGTACTTGTTTGATATCTACTGATGCAGGGACATTTGTTATAAATAAATTTATATGACCTTTTTGATGGCTCGATCATCAAAAGACTGTTAAGCTTAAAATTCTTCCTAGTGGTTTGTAAATAACTCACTTAAAACTGTCCGATCAATGCCTGTTTTAATTTACCTTGGATAAACAGCATTGTGGAGTGATAGACAAGATTTCTTTTATTGAATGTCCTCACTTCGTATGCGTACATGGCCTGTTCCCAGGCTTCGTACAGCTGGATTTGGGCGACGTGATCGCTGCAACTGTCCTCCGCAAATGATTTCCTGATCTGGGACAGACAATGACAATGAAATGAATTTACTGCCTTAACCTCAATTACAAAGAAACTCTTGCTTCCGTCTGAACGCATGCTCATTGATAAGAATATCTGCAAAGAGCTTTTCTTTCGAAATTGTAAAACAATGATCAAAAAGTTCTAGAGTTAGCAACTTTTATGTTCACATGCACATGCACGCGATATTCACACATTACCATCTATGCCCTAAGTATTCAGCCACATCTGAATTTTGTATTTTTTGGCAGTGGCTTCATGTTTTGCCACTGGACCTCAGCAGAGAGTAGCCGCAGTCAAAAACACAACAATGCCTGCTATCGGACACACCCTACCTTTAAAATGGCCGCCCTGTTCTCCATGGAGTCTAGGAAAGGTGGTCTGGTATGCATGCCAGCAGCCACTGTTAGGACGGGGCTCACGCATCTGGTTGTAAAGAGAAACAATTATGGATGTTTTTCTGTTACACAACATCAACAACTGTGAGCGATGTATAGATGAGATCTCCATACTGACAGCTTCAGGCATATTTGTCATGATGTTCAGTTTTCAAGGTAAGCCTGTGCTGGACTGAACTACAAGCAGCAAATTGAGAAATGCATCTGCGAATGTTTGTTTACACAAATAAGTTTTACTGGACGACATGGACTTATCAGCTTGTTTGCTGCCTGGCCAGTCAGCATGTAGTTTTTCACTTGCCTGAACACAGCAGACAGCACAAGAGCCTTGGCTAGTCTGGGGTCGGCAGAGATACCCACTATTTTGTCCCCAAGGGCAGTAAGTGATTCATCGTCTTTGAGGATGGCAAGATCTTGCAGAACCTCCACAGCTTTCTCCACTATGACAGGTACAACGAAGATAGAAATGAAAGCACACAGGCAAATTTCTATGTCCTGTTAATTGCCAATAGGAGCTGAGCGTCCACCAAATTTAATGTTAGGCCATAAGAAAGGTGATGCAAAATATTGACTTCAACAAGATGAATGAAACGTTAACCACTTGCTGCTTGGTGGTTTGAAAAATACAGTGCACATAATCGGGACTTTTTTAAGATTTTCAGTTTTCAAAATTCTTCAAAAATTCCCGTTTCAATTAATGAACGTTTACACCCACACAAATTACTGACTGGTGACCACTCTAGTCTGACAGACAAAATCTATTGATGCCGGAGTAAACTGGGCTTCCCGGCAGGAAGTGGTTGAAAAACATTCTGGGAATGACTATAAAAAAAAAACCTGATGACAATTAATATTTTTCGGTGGTGCAATTCCACGATTTAAACAAAATCTGCAAATTCACCATTTGTAAAGTTCCAGCTCCTGATTAGCGGCCAATGATTGAATTAAATTTGCCAATCACTGCAAAGGCTGTGGCTGGATTGGTGACTGTTTCATATAAGCTTACCTGCTGAGAGTGGAGGAGGCTGCATTGCTTGGCTCAGGAGACTAGCAGCACTCATGTCTCTGAAGTGAACCTTGGCCTGAACCACTATCTGCTCCAGGGGGATCCTTAGCATCTCAGGGGCCTGGTAATCCTCTGGCAAAGGTACAATGTAGAAAAAGCTGCGTGTGTATTCAGAGATGGCGTGAATGGTCTTACAAACTTCATCCTTAACTGAAATAGACACTTTGTGAGCTAAAAAATGCATCTGTTGACATACGAAGCGTGGAGAACCATACAGACATTGAATGCGTAAACTGTGTCTGTTCTACAGTGACGAATAATCTAAGTTCAAAATCACACTCAAGAAGACCCCGGTCAATTATGGTCTCATTGAAGACTTCAAGACGTGGTCCAAGTTTTACCAAGCTGAAGGTATCGGTTCTTGCTAAAAAAGTGATAGCATTCCCCTGGCTGGCAGCGGCCTGCGCGACCTTTGCGCTGTCGGACGTTGGCCTTTGAAATCCACTGGACATCTAGACATGACACCTGTAGAAATAAAAAAAAATGGGTTACCATTTGTGCATCTCACCAAATGTAAATATTGCATGGAGACATTTTTTTTTAAAGAAACATACCCCTAAGTTGACGTCATATCTATCTTCTTTGTGGTTGCCCGGATTGACCACATACACCACGTCGTTGATGGTTATTGATGTCTCGGCTATGTTGGTGGCAAGCACAATCTTCCGTATTCCATGTGGCGGCCTGGATAATTTAAGGCCAAAATAACACACTTCACAAAAATTAATTCTGAAAAAGGTTCCCTCCCATCAACTCTCACGACAGCATATAAACCATTGACTGATTGTGGGGAACAGACGAAACACTCCACATTGCGCTTGACTTTCAGATACGTTGTGATGGAACAAAGTTCCGAGTAGACTTTGGTGTCCATCACTAACACTTCTGGGTACGAGGACACCTTCTCATAGGTCTTATTGCAAAGTGAAAGGAAGGAAACTTCACCTATCTTATTTCTATGCTCAACCTTCCCGATCTTTCAAAATCTACATGGGGAGGGGTTGTAGACAGGCTTAATCCTACACCTTCCTAGACCCTTCCAGATTCTCGACCTCGGACAAGGTTTTGTTGCATTCTGCCTAATGATGGAAGTTGGAGCCCTTCTCCAATTACTCTGCGACGAACTTGATTCCGTGGAAAAATCAATGCACTGACAAAAAATAAGCCCTTAGTTTCCTGATGGGCTTGCAGGATTCAGGGGCTACTAGCCAAAAAAACGCATGAGGAGTCAGGTTTGCATAGTGGTTCCTTCCTTGCCTTCCAACTCTGTTGCCCGAAGTGGAACCCGTCTCGGTCCACATGTGGATTACGTATTCAGTCCCTATCTGATTCCCTGGGTTTCGCCCAGAATATGCCTCCGGGGTTTTCCCCCCACCTCTAAAACTGTAACTGCTTCTCGATGTCTCCTCTCTACAGGTTTCTTCAGGCTTGTGAGCTACAGTGCCTAGGGCGCTTCTGAGAAACCCTTGGTGTAATTACCAGAAAGGATTAATATTAACACTAAAAGGAAATAAGGTTGATCAAGATTGTGGGACACATAAGAAAGACTGTTAGAAAACAGAGAGGAGGAAGCAAGAGAACCTTTCAAAGATGTCCTGCTGTGCAGACAGTGGCACACTGGAATGTACAGGCAATATCAAATGCTTCCCACTCTGAGAGGAAAAAACAAAGATTTGAGAGTAAAAAGTAGAAAAAAAAATAAGTCTGTCTGTATCGATAGTGACAATGTGGTGTAAATAAGGGTGCCATGTAAATGCATATGCAAATCTGCCATAGAATTATCATATCATGTGAACTCTCACATCTAATGACAAAATGACATCTTGCTCACGTGGTACTGAATAAGAACAAAGTCTCGTTACTGTTTGATGCATTTGATGAGAACTTACATTGGGCAAAATATCCTTCAATCTGTCACACACTGATCGGATGTCTTGCCAGCCAGGAAGAAAGCAAAGGATAGCCCCCTGTTGACACGACAAAGCAATAAAGGACCATAAAATTCATGTTCAGTAGGAATTTAACAAAAGCAAGAAAAGAGGAGTTGGAAGAAAATTTACAAGATGACAACCACAGCCGTGGTTTCGATTTCTTTGTGTCTGGCTAGGATTGACTTACAGGAGGCCTGCTTTCATCAATGAACTTGATTATGTTGACGGCCAAGTCCACATCAGTCAACGGCCTGACAACATCGCACTCCTCGTCCATGGAAGTTGATGCCCGGTTACCTTTGCCATGGGCACCAATGCCCGCACCCAGGAGGCCCGAAACGTCCTCCAAGTAGTACTCTTTGACGGGATACATGAACCCTGGTACACTTATCATAGGACAGCTGCAGTGTGTAGAGACAATGAAGAAAATGAATGGACGCCTGAACAGAACTTAACCTTCCTAGCCTGAACCGATTGTTGGGACACGCACTCAGTGCTATGCAAATACTTCCAAATAAAGGTCAATATCTTTCTCGGTCTACAAATGCACTAAATTCAGAACTGTAGTGTAATCCTTCTAGTCTTCACAATTACTGTTACATGGGGTGGGCCAAGTGCACGTCAATGTCGTCAAATCAAGGTCATGTTTGAGAGAGTTGGCAAAGTGAAAGTGTTGAAATATTTGTCTAAAAAAGATTTAGACTCCAAGTTAAATCTGGGTACATGGTAAGTCCTTTTGCAAATGCTTGGACATTTCCTGGACATCTTTTTAAGCGCATATTCAGTTTTCACTCTATAATTAGAACCCAATCACTCTGATCAAAGAGTCTAGTTTTCTAGGCTTAATTTTTCTTGAATTAAGAGCTATCCTTATCGGATTAGGACTTGACCACTGTATGGCCAAAAAGTAATTTGAATATAGTTGAATTCCGAGAAACCCAAAACCTGTCTCACTCGTTGAAGTAGGAGGAGATGAGCTGTGCATTGATGGATGCACTCATGAGGATGAGCTTGAGGTTGGGGTTGTCTCGGAGAAGGTTCTTGAGGAGGATCAGGAGAAAGTCTGTGTTGATGTCACGCTCGTGGACCTCATCCACAATGACGTGACTGATGCCTGCAATGTTCCAAGTGACAAAAATCATGATATCAACGTAGTTTATTGACATGAAAATCTCCTTGGTGTTGAGGGTACGGTGTTCTCAAAAGAATTGTCTGGCCTCCAAAGGATAGGTTTGATGAAATCCTCTGTCAATGTTTTCTTGTTTTTGTTGACATTTATCTTACTGGGACTTTCATCCCAAAGTAACTTCCTGTGATCTGAATGAAATGTCAGTGTATATCAATGAACTAAACTTGTATTAACCCTAACCCTCCTCAATCCTTCACCTGTTGGAGGATTGAGGAGGGTTAGGGTTAAGTATTGCATTTTGACATATCTAATGACATCTTTGTTGAGTGGTTTAAACAAATGCTTTCAGTCAGTCTAGTATTGGTCTAAAGAAGAAGAAAACTGTACACATTTTATTGTTGGATTTTTTTTAACTTTTAACAGTGTTGCTCAACTTTGCTTAGTTTACTGTCCACACAAGAAATCACGTCTTCTTGGCACAGATCTCATTTTGTTTTAATGTCCACAAAATTCGTTCCCTACCTGTGAGACTTGGATTGGATTCCAGCTTCTTCAGCAGAATACCGGTCGTGCAGAAGAGTATGCAGCCGTTGTTGTATGGGAGCTTGCTGCTGAGACGAACCTGGTAACCAATGGTGTTCCCTACTTGTTCACCACGTTCAAGGGCCACCCGTTCAGCGACTGACACTGCGCTTATTCGTCTTGGCTGCAAGTATTCAGAAAACCAATTAAAAACATGCAGTGATGACACTCCAGTGGCACACTACATGCTCCTTAATCATGGATAGAAAAGAAGACTTCTGAGGAGTGCCAAGCCAGGAAAAAGAAACTTTCCAGATTTTAACAAGACCAAGTAGAGAGAAAATCGAGAGCATGTTATGTGAAGGAGCTCCATGACTTTTACTCCAGACCTCCTTTTTTTCTTTTACCTGTGTAACCACGACGTTGCAGTGGGCACCCTTGTCTTGGTGAATCCATTCCTCCAGCAAGTATTGAGGCACCTGGGTGGTTTTACCACACCCTGTCTCACCAGACAGAACCACCACCTGATTGTCACGGACGAGACCTAAAATTTCCTCCCTGGAACGACACACCCAATATTGTCAATCACATAAAAGCTTCCTCGAAGCAAGCCTTTCACGATTTTAACGACTGAACTAATTTGACTTGAAGTGGTTTGAAAAATTATTCAAAAAATTGGATACCATGGGCACCTATGCCTGCACCCAGGAGGCCCGAAACTTCCTCCAGGTAGTACGCTTTGACGGGATACATGAACCCTGGTACACTTATCAAAGGGCAGCTGCAGTGTAGAAACATTGAAGAGAATCAATGGATGCCTGAACTGAAGTTGAGAATGACGCACAGATCAACACGCACTCAGTGCTAATATGACTTGAACTAGTTTGAAAAATTATAAAAAAAGGTGAATAGTAGGGTGAGTTGATGGGGTGTCAGAAATTGTAAGGTGATGGGTCCAATTTCATCTGAGCCCTGCCAATTCTGAGAAGACACCAGTCTCAGTCAATTCCTAGCTCACTTTTTCAACTCTGACTGAAGTCTGAGCTAGAATTTATTCAGCCCAAGCCAAGTCTAAGTTTGGTATGCATGATACAACTGAAACAGTTTTGGCTGTCAATGGTAGCGAGACGGTCGGCCCACTGAGGGAAATTTTGCGGGATGTTGTTTTTATAACTCCTTACGTTGCTTTTTTACATTTTTAATTTCTTCTGCCATTCCAACGATCCAGTAAACAGCACTTTAAAACGACCAATGGCGATACTTGAAACTTGGAGGCCTGACCTCATGTCCGCGATGGGGAGCTTCAGGGCTTCCTCCCTGACGCTCCTCTCCTCAGAGTCTTGCTGCGCCTTGTCTTCAAGCAGCTCCTGCCGCTCGACGAGGTAGTTGTTCTTCCACTCTGCCCTGCTCTCGGTCATTTCTTGGTAGGGCTTCCCTGTTATTGCATCAGACAGCTGGTCCTCTGGGCTGTCGCAATCGAAAAGAGTTTCAAAGCTCTCTGCCCGGCTTTCATCATGATCGGCTGGCTCTCTCCATGCAGAGCCTATGCGCCGTGCCTGTCCAGCAGGTGACAGAAAGAGATGGTTACTGTAAACTGATGAGGAAGGATGGGGGATTTTTAACTGCCAGGTCAAATTTCTTCCTCAGATAATTACACTTAAACGGTCAAACGACCATAATTTAACAAGACTCCCCCTTCAACTTGTAATATAGCAGTAACTTGAATTCAAAGCCAGCAATATCTGATTTAGCTTTGCAGAGAAGGGCACCTATTACAGTGACCAGTCCATAATGTTCATGCCAAAGGTACAGCCAGTGTTAAAGGCACAGTGGAAGATTCCATCCTGAGTTCGCATCTCTATAAAACCTCCAGTTTTTAATACACAAATTGCTTCCATATTCACAGTACCAAAATGAACTGAACTGAATTTTTGATTGAAATATTCCACACGGCAACAGGTATTCCAAAATGCCTGTGACAAACCTATTTTACCTAAACTGATGTGGCTGAGTTCTGGCCTATCATCCTGACCTTTCAAGAAACCCTAGGGTGCAAATAATTTATGAGCACATTATCAACCTGCTTTTGTAGTTGCCGACTGCTTTCAAAAGTAGAAGGGAAGAGCATACATAGGTTTCCAGCAAAATTTAGGACTTCTTACGTCACTGTGAAATTATATTGACTCTTTTAAAAGTGGGAGAGAGGAGACGTCCCGTTTCTCACCTCCCTCCCATCTCCCACTCATCAACACCCATGGCTGTTTCATCAATTTACATCGGCACAATCTCTCCTCTGTGTGATCCATGAATCATGCTCCTTAGCTCCAGGATTGAAGTCCAAGCTGCAATCACCCACCTTAATGGCTTGGAGCACCTGCTTGATCTCCACTCCTAGATCTGGCTCCAGCCCGATCCAGTCTGGCCGACTCTCCCGCCACAGCTGTTCCTTGATATCTTCCTTGTTGTGAAGCACCTGCCCGGCAATCCTTGGTTTGTTGTTGTCGTCCAGAGCCCCAAATTCCTAAAAGGTGAAATGTAACAAAAATGTCTACAGATGTAAATTGAGGACTTAATCAGCTTACCTGGGGACATGTACTGGACAGGCAATGTCTTGCTAATACATGAAGTCATACCTAACTAATGAGGACCTAATCTCAGTATTTCATTCAAAATGACAAACACAGATCATGAATCACCAGTGAGGACCTCACTTGGCCAACTACTGGGATATGTAGAAGGGTGAACGTACCTTACCAGTGGGGATTTTCTTCAGTAATCCCAAACTGAGGACATTCCTGCAGACCCACTCACCTTGAGCTTAGCGCAGGCCAGTGCAGCAGCCATCTTCTCTGCCTGGGTCCGTCGTCTCCCTAATCCCACCACGGTGAACTCCTGTGGCCAGGTCACGCTCAGCACGCTCTGCTTCACCTTACTGTTTCCCTGGGCTGGCTGCAGCTTGTACTGACACACATTACCGGCCTTGCCATCTTTGGCAACGAGTGCAAGGACATTGTGCAGACAGCTCTTGGGGTTCTGGAATTCCTCAAGGGCTCGCTCTCCTTCTTCACTGAGAATGGTTGCTGAAGGAGCAATTTCACAAATATTCCAAAATTCCCAAATCCCTTCTGGTTTAGATCATAACAGGTAGCCCAGGTTAGGTGTGATCGGCCGATCAGCACAAACCTTACTCACTGAACTGCAGGGTCCGACGTCCCCCCTCTTTGTGGAGCAGGAGCAGACGTCAGACCCCACAGTTCTGGGGGTACACAAACCTAACATGCCCAAAAGCTATAAGCTGAGACTAATGCCTCATTAGTGCCTAACTGATGTCATTGTCATGTTGATGGAATCATGTTCAAGCAGCAGCCTCGGCCTAGAAAGAATTCCTTATTTGGATACCACTAAAAATTTTCCCTGCAGTGACCTACGAGCCATCTGAACTGTTGAAAGCAGTCAAAATGTCCAAAAGTAAAATTTAGCAGTAAAATATTAAGATATTTACTTAAAACACTTAGAATTTTCCAGACCAGGGAAAGAGTTCCGTATACGGACGCCACTTGACACCCTATGCACAAACCCTAAGAAACTGGTCTGAAAAATTGCAAGTGTTTTCTCAGTAACGACTTGGTATTTTTCCCTCCTAAATTGAATATTTCTGGACATGTTTTTGCTCTCTGATGGCTATTAAGTCACTGTAGGGAAGAATTGCTGGCATTCGTATAGGCCTAGAACTCTTCCCCTACCTCAGACCTGTCTTATACTTTGTGTACAGCCTACAAGTGTTAATCGGCATCCATACATCATACGGACAATGTATGGAATGGAATTCATTCCCTCAGCCTACAAATTAAGCTGGACTGACACGCTTGATTTACCTGTTTACCTGCTTACTCCATATGCCCCAACACTATACACATTGAACAAACAACCCAAAATGAAAAATGATTGTTACAAACAAGTTTTCTATTCACATGAATTAAATTAATCACCTCCATTAAAATCTAAAGCAAATTCAGATGAAACTGTCGTAAACAGACAACCCACTGCATGCAATATTCATCGCATTTTACTTACGAATCTCCACTTGACTTGCTTTTTGCTTCCGTTTTCGTTTCCTTTGCTCGTTGACCAAGGAAGTGTGGTAACTCGCGAATAAATGTAATCTATAGACATAACTGTGTCTTGTATGGCATAACTGACATAATCGGCAGCCTGACATTGCTAGGAATTTTGCTGATAACCCAGTCAGGGCTTTTTCCGCAGCACGTGCCATGGGCGCAGCCATCTTAGAAATTGCGTCACGAGCACTCAAAAACTTGTGCGTAAAACGATGTTTTGAGAAGTATATTTTTGTATCCGTAAAGTGTATTACAAAAGATTAATCAAATTTATGATATAATTATTTTATCTGAATTTATGGGACTTAAATTTACCAAAATAAACATAATATAGATTATTAGTATGATATGATTGACTTATAGCCCGCGCTCCAACATGCGCACCACACACGTGCTCAACGTTGTCGTTGAAAGGGTGAACTGTAAATGCCAGACACTCAAGTGGCGCGGAATTTGTTGGCTCGGTCCTGTTTGTATCTCAGAATTGTCACTTTCTGTACCGTTTTGTCAGCGGTAACAAATAATTGTATGCAGCAATGGCGAGTGGGGAAATTGGTAAGAATATTTAACCTAATCTGTTTAGAGATTTTTTATCCTGGATTTCTTTGTCAGGTGGTCAACAGTCTGGGCGGACTCGTGCCACTCGTCATGCTTGTGGACATGTTCGGATTTTGGACCACCTGGAGGAAACATTTTATCAATGTTATGATGATAATGTGTGTCTGTCCGTAAGCCTTAACGCAAATACCGCATAACTGATTTTGTACAATGGTAGATATGGTAGAAAGGCATTGTGGGAAGGCAACAGGTTCAATGTATGCAACTTGCCCACAGCACTTGCCCGTCTAATTAAGTAATTTCTATCATGCTAAATTACCCATGCAGTATTTATTTTTGCGATAAGGCTTGGCCTAGGCCTATGCTATGGTCATTGACACTCCGTTCTTTCAATAGATTTAATTTGTGTCTTGTCTGCATTTGTTTGTGCCATATACGTGTACCGGTATGTGATATCCCTAGTATATGATGGTCTGATTCATTGCTTTTGGACTCATGAGCCCCAGCACCCAGTTGTCAACTAAAAATAACATCAATTCTCACGCTCAGAGATTGTTCCGTTTATCGCACTGATGTATGGGCAAGGGCAACCCTCCCTTAACTTTGTGCAGGGATTTGTATGTTTTCCAAATTTTTTGCAGCAAAGTGATAAAAATAATTAAAAACTTTTTGGTGGAGTGTGTGAGATATTCTTAGTGCATAGACCTTTAAACAGTGAAATTTCAGGCATAGAGGGCCTAGGCTCTGTATTATTTGGTATTAAGGTCGACCGTTTGGTCAGTAATTCAGATTTTCCCCATGGGACCACAACACTGTTTTGGTCCCTTTGAGTTCCAAGTGTGAAATATGGAACAACCACCAACTGACCAATCAGAGAGAACCAAGACTTACCCGGTGATGTCATCCTGACCGTGAGAATGACAGTAGAGTCGCCAGGTCCCTTTTACTTTTGTAGGCCTGCCTTGAAAACCAATCAGACTTGACATTAGGCCTAGGCGGCGAAATTAGAGACCTGGTGACTATGCTGTCATTGGTGTTAGGCCTAATAAGTACATTGAGGCCTGTCATGCCTACGTACATCATTGGAACCAGGAGGTCCAGTGCAAACGAATGGAGTACTCAGTTCTGGGGGTGGAGTACCTGTGCATGTTGGACTGTTAATTCACTCGCTGTTTCCCTCATCAATGCCTTTCACACACGTAATAAAATGATCTTCTAAGCCCCACCCCATTGTTTTCCCACCAATCACAGCCGTAATTTATTATATCCGACAGGCGTGCACAAAAGTCTGACATGCGCGCACAAAAGTCGGACATGATGCACGTAGCTGGAACCTGGAGTTTGGTATTGGAGAAGAGCTTGTGCTAAGCGCCCACCTGTGCAGTGGGGAATGGGGAGGACTATAACGGACTGGCCTATTGTGCGAGTGACGCATTCACTTAGTACTTTACAACGTGTGTCCCAACTATCAGTGACTCTAGTTAGGCAGGCCCAACTCTACAGGCGTGCGACATTTCCTTAGATCAACTGATTTCCTTGTTTTCTACCTCACGATCATGCCCTTGAAAGTTGAAAAACACTGTACAAAGTCTTGTAAAGATTGGAATTTGCTCGGGTTTTTTTGGGTCAAAGTTCAAGTTGCATGCACCATAGTGTGTATTGATGTTTTATTTATGTCGGTAACTCAAACTGGTAGAGTGGCATGGATAAAAATGCTGCATTGGCATAGACCCCCTAACTTGGGTGAATAAAACTTCGTTTTTTTCAAATTGAGAAGTTGATCATTTGACCAGGGAAGAGATCCATATACAGACACCATTTTTCTCAGAAAACGACATGGTATTTTCCCTCCTAAATTGAACTTTGGCATGTTTTGCTTTCTGATGGCTAATAGGTCACTGAAGGGAATAATTACTGACGTCTGTATATGGAACTCCTCCCTTAGACCACTCAAATCCTAAATCCAAAAGGACTTTTAACGTCCCAGTTAGTGGGTCTGATAGTGGCATATTTGGGATGAATTCTGTCTGGTAAAAACTGCAAAAACTTGAAAAAGGTTGAGAAATTGATTTTCCAGGCAAATTTGTCGACTACAGTTGGGTAGATGTCATAATTGGGGTGTAATGGGACCATAAAAGCATTCACACACCATCCTGGCTATGTAGTTGGCCCTTATGTACATGCATTTGGCAATGTCTACTGGGAGTCTTAAACATGGAGTCATGAACGGAGTTAACTGAGAAGCCCCAACCTTAAAGTTTCTTTTAGTAAAGTTGTGAATTTGGAATGATCGTATTCAATTTTGAGAGAGTGTAGTCTATATGTGTTTGAACTTGAGTTATCTTTCCTTTTTTCCAGCTCTGTTGAGTGTGTCCAACAAGACAGGTCTGGTGGACTTTGCAAATCGTTTACAGGCCATCGGCCTTCAGCTTGTGGCCTCTGGTGGGACGGCCAAGGCCATCAAAGAGGCCGGTATTGCTGTCAGGTAAAGACTCACATTCGTTGCAAAAATGTCTGTATGTTGTTTGTTGACGTGTCACATTTTACTGAGCGAAAAGTAAATGTCTACACAGCCGTCAGCTTCACATTGTACATATTATATCTTTATGATTAAATGTGGTAAAATGTTTACTTGTTTGTTTAGCCAACTCGACGTGTAGATGTTGCGAGCAATACATGTACTCTTGTCCGGGTGGGAAGTTTAAAAAAAATCCAGCTTTGTGGTTGACGTGTGTTCGGTATGTGATATGCACAGCAGGGATATGCACATTTGTTAAAAATGATTTTATTATGAGATGCGCCTGGCATTTTGTTGGTTACATCAATTTACGTGTGAGTTTGACAGATGTGGTAATTTGTGGGAAAAGCACAGCTGGATGGCAGACTCAATTCAACTGCAAGGTTTATATTGTGGGGTCTGATGAAGTGAAGAGATTGAAGGCTCAGTTTTTGGAATTGTTTCATGTAAATGTGAAGTAATTGTCAATTCTTATCTGAGGTGGAATTCTACATAAGAAACAAACCTCTATACAAGAGAGATTCAGAAACCTTGTCACAAATGAATTGTTTTCTAGTTGGTCACAACATGACATGANCAATTGAGACAATTTCTTTCATTCGTTTTAGTTTTCTATAGTTTAACTATGGCTACAGTAGTTGTAATTGTCTTTAAAGTTCATGTAAACAGTTTGAAAGCTTGACCTGTTACCAATATTTTGACAAGTGCTGATTGACAATAAAATTATGAAATTGTTGTGTTTACATAATTTGCAATTTTAAATATATTACACAAATACTTCCATAATTATCCATCTCAAATGCCATATTTTGTATGCTTATTGTAAATTTGTGAATTTGGTGTGATCGTATTCAATTTTGAGAGAGTGTAGTCTATACGTGTTTGAACTTGAGTTATCTCCTTTTTTCCAGCTCTGTTGAGTGTGTCCAACAAGACAGGTCTGGTGGACTTTGCAAATCGTTTACAGGCCATCGGCCTTCAGCTTGTGGCCTCTGGTGGGACGGCCAAGGCCATAAAAAAGGCCGGTATTGCTGTCAGGTAAAGACTCACATTCATTGCAAAAAGTCTACATGTTGTTTGTTGACGTGTCACATTTTACTGAGCGAAAAGTAAATGTCTACACAGCCGTCAGCTTCACATTGTACATATTATATCTTTATGATTAAATGTGGTAAAATGTTTACTTGTTTGTTTAGCCAACTCGACGTGTAGATGTTGCGAGCGATACTCTTGTCCGGGTGGGAAGTTTAAAAAACTCCAGCTTTGTGCATTTTATGTGGTTGACGTGTGTTCGTTCTGTGGTACACAACAGGGATATGCAAATTTGTTAAAAATGATTTTTTTAAGAGATGCGCCTGGCATTTTGTTGGTTACATCAATTTACATGTGAGTTTGACAGATGTGGTAATTTCTGGGAAAAGAACAGCTGGATGGCAGACTCAATTCAACTGCAAGGTTTATATTGTGGGGTCTGATGAAGTGAAGAGATTGAAGGCTCAGTTTTTGGAATTGTTTCATGTAAATGTGAAGTAATTGTCAATTCTTATCTGAGGTGGAATTCTACATAAGAAACAAACCTCTATACAAGAGAGATTCAGAAACACTGTCACAAATGAATTGTTTTCTAGTTGGTCACAACATGACATGATTTTGTTGTACATGCTTTTGAGAATGAATTGGATTTTCTCAAGTGGAAGACGGATATTGACAAATTACACTGTAAATACTTCCTCTGCTCTCTTCAATAGCGATGTTGCCTCGGTAACGGGAGCACCAGAGATGTTGGGTGGGCGTGTCAAGACGCTGCATCCCGCTGTGCATGCTGGTAGGGATTGGCATAGCTGTCATGGTGTCATTCCACCCCGCAGACAAAAATTAGTTGATTATTTATTATGGAAGGATTTCCCAGTGTCTAGAAAGAATATGGAATCCCAATGCGCCTTCATTGCTTGTGTTGTGTTTAGTTGATTGTCGTATTGTATAAAGGCTTTGCACGGTAGCCATCTTGCGGGGCAATTCTTTTGTTCCACT